TTCTTTTGTAAATTGTTTGAAGAATTTTGTGGTTGGTTTGTCTGTTATTCTGTATAAACTTATTTTCTGAATGCTATATATATATTTTTGATGAAGCAAACTCCTTTAAAACTAAGCCTAGTTTGTCTGTTAATAAACATATATTCAGATTTCTGATTTTGGGCCCAGTTTTCAGTTGATCTAAATCGGTGTCCAAAATTATACTGTGTTTGATTTCAACATAAATTGAATATATATAGGGTTCTTTGAAATGCTGAATCTAGACCTGTATTTATTTTCATTATTACTTAGATAATACCCCATTGAGGTCCAAAGGGTCCTAAATTAAACTTTTGTTTAATTTCATCAAAAATTTAATTCTTGGGGTTCTTTGATATGCTGATTCTAACAATGTTATTAAATTTTGGATATTGGAACACAATAGGTATATGTCCGATTTCAAATTTTTCAGTTCTTTGACCACATTCATTTCACAATCCAAATTCAGAGCTGTTTTAAGCTTAAATGTTGTGTCCATACTTGCTGAACATCCGAAAATCCGGTTTGCTGTCACTCTGACAGCCTCTTGTTATAACCTGGAACATGTTTTGCAAAAAGAATTTACCCAGAAAATAACCCCATAATCCTATTGTTGATGTAGGGTCTGTAAATAATTCCATATCAAAGCTATTGGTAAATTCATTTTCATGAAACATAGTAATGCTGTTCCATTTTGACAAAAAAATGTAACCAAAAGTCTAAGTCGGTACAACATTTTGTACTTAAGTGCACATATTCAGATAGATCTTTAACTGTAGGTGACTAATGACAAATAATCAATTAAGAAACAAAAGACCTTCCAAGTAAAATAACTCTGGAAGCAAAATTTAAATGTCCCAATATTGAATAAATGTAAAAGTTCTCTTTGTGTACAAGATGATTTATGTAATATTTTGCAAACAAATTGCATATCCTTTGAACCTTATTATCAGGTAATCTGGTTTCCATTATATTTGAATCTATAAAATTAGAAAATATGGTATAATTACCAATGAGACAACTCTCCATCAGAGACCAAATGACATAGAAGTTAACAACTATAGGTCACTGTACGGCTTTCAACAATGAGCAAAACCCATACTGCATAGTCAGCTATAATACAAGGCCCCAAAATGACAAATATAAAACAATTCAAACGAGAAAATAAACGGCCTGATTTATGTAAAATTAAATGAACGAAATACAAATATAATAAACAGCAACAAACGACAACCACTGAATTACAGGTTCATGACTTGGTGACAGGCACATACAGAATATGGCAGGTTAAACATGTTAGCGGGCGCCCATCCTCCCCATAACCTGGGACAATGGCGTAACAGTACAACATATGAACAAACTATAAAAATCAGTTGAAAAGATTGATACAAAGCAGAAAAACAAGTAAGAAAAACACAGACCGGATGTGGCAGGGTATTTATAGATCCCTACAATAAAAAAGACACAAAGTACCGATCTAAAAGTATACTGACAGCTAGTTCAAAACCAATAACAACTGATAAAAAATCATGTTTCTAAGACTAAAGTATCAATCAGTACACATCCAACATCCAATGGATTTAGTGTAAAGACGTCATAAACAGTCAGAGAAAGACATGACCACATGCAATGCCAAAATACAGGTATCAACAGATTGTAGAACCGTGAATGTGCATATGTATATGTATATAACAATGACATTATTTTGGTTTTAATTTACTAATAAAAAAAAAATATTTATAACTATTAAAAACAATATTTAAAGATCTAATTACAGTGTTGAATCGGTAACCTTTTAGAATAAGTTTATTTAAATGATCTATTAGTTTACCCGGATCGTATCTAAATTTCCAGGCTCGTTCAACAACATCTCCATAAAAATTAGGATGTGCTATCCGGTTTGAAATAAGTTTTCTACAGGTACTAACCAAAACATTTATTACCATCTTTATTTGATTTATTTATCCTTTGGGTAAATGTTGGCAGTATATTTAGAAAATTCTTGATTATTTAACGAAAAAAGTATTTTTAAGATAACGATGAGTGTTGTTCATTTTATCAATTAAAGGCAATTTAAGGTTCTTTACTGAGTGTGATCATAAACTGTGATTCATAACAGTACAAGAACAAGTCTGCTATTAAAGGTTGGACTTTGTAAATACAGCTGTTTTACAAACCACGCCTCTCTTGGAGAGATATATAATATTCATAGATATTTTGTTTTGTTTACGTACTGGTTCCCAGATATAATCTCTATGCTTCATCTCATAGAGACATAACTTGGGAGTGTTACCAGTATAAATACACATTGATAGCGGCCAAATTGAATTCTGAGTGAAGGGAGGGGAAGTACAGAATTTTAGTATAAGTATTGTTGTGAGAAAAAGAGTTTTTCAAAAGTTTTCTATTTGAATAAATGTTAGTATAAGGTTGCACTTTTTAAATACAGCTGCTTCACAAACCAGAACTCTTTTGGGGAGATATATAATATTCATAGATATTTTGTTTTGTTTACGTACTGGTTCCCAGATGTGATCTCTATGCTTCATCTCATAGAGACATAACGGGAATGTTACCAGTATAAATACACATGGATAGCGGCCAAATTGAATTCTGAGAAAGACCCAAAGTGAAGGGAGGAGTAGTACAGAATTTTAGTATAAGTTTAAACTCTTAGAAGTTCGAGCCATATAAATGTTGAAAATATGCCGCACAGACACTTCTTGGCCATCGGAAAACACAATTACGACCTTGCTTATCAAGCTTGTTTGACATGTTTGGTCTAACTGACCTGTTGTAACCTAAGTTACTATTAATACCCTGTTGATCTTAACACTGTAATGCACAAAATTCTGTTGAATGATCAGCTTGATTAAATAAAGAGCAAGAATTAACTTTGATGCCCCCACTGACTAAAGACAAAATGTCACAGACTCTCTTGCTCCAGTCTACTTTAACGTTTTTCTCTCTAAGAAGCTTAAGTGTAGCTGCCTTTGCTGGAAATAGCTTGTGATAGATATAGAACTTCTCTCCATAGAACTTGTGAATTTGAATTAATTCCTCTTTTTATGCATCAGCTTTTCACGTTGTTCAGGATATACCACACACATGATGCCCTCGTATTTACCAAAAGCCGAAATAAAATCTTGTATATTTAGGTGCCTATTAAGGATTTAGTCATGTCAGGTTTAGGAATTTTTGTCAGATGTTCGGATTCCTTTGGTTTATTCCTTCGATACAGGGTAAAATATTTTGCCCCATATCACCCACTTTTCTTGTCATTAAAGACTTCAATAGCTCATAAAAGGTCATTACCAAAATTTAAGCAGATTCTAGATTTCTTTTCTTGCAATTTGAGATCAGATTTCACAGTAGAAAGTAAAAGTAAATAAGTAAAACTGTAAAATGAACTTGAAAACTTATTCCTTTTTGAGTAAACGTCCTTTGTATTCAACAACTAAATCTAAACTGAGAAGCTTGCAGCCTGCAAACGTAACTGAGAACCTAATCCCTGATAACTAGGCTAACCAAATTAGGCACGACCTTTGACCTCTAAAATTGGATTGACAGTCCCATCTCATAGAAGAAACCATTCCAACTATATAAACAACACGTATACTCTGCATAAGTTACAATTAGGGCTTGTTTTTACAATAAGTACTCCTCATGTCACTTTTATGACCAGAAAAGAGTGTCTGTACTAGGGAGCAATGTTTAGTTAACAAAGACGGCCTCAACCTTGATTTTTTTTCCCATAACTATATTAAAGTGGACAACCCAAATTTGATGTTCATTTCATCCAATAGACAGTTGAATGACAATGAATTTATTCAGGACATACCTGTAGACTGTTTTTGAATTAGTGAATCAATGGTATTTTTAAATGTGATATATATTTCAGAGACATTCAGTGCCAACAGATCCTAAGTTTACATCACAGATCTCAACAAGTGAAGACTGGTAACAACACTAAACAAGTCTTGTTCACAACAGTGGTTGTATTCCTTGAAAGCCTGTATTCTTATGTATCTAGTGTGGATCCAGATTCTTTTATAGGTATTACTTTATATATTTAACCTAACTGAATACAGTATAAAACAACTGAAAAACCGAAACCAATCAGGATTTATTAATATTTGGATTATGTGCCACAGGAAAAAAAAAAGGTTTACCTTTTCTTTCTCTCCAATACTGTGGATTCATTTATTTTTCATGGGTATCAATTTTCCTGGATAGAGAAAAAAAGACATTTTGTGGGATTCATAAATTCGTGGATCACTGTTTGAAAAATGAAAAATAAATGTTTCAGATACGTAAATTCGTGGATCTCTGTTTGAATAATAAATAAAATGCTTCGCTGGGGCGCAGCTTGATACGACCGCAGAGGTCGAACCCTGAACAGTTGGGGCAAGTATGGAAACAACATTCAAGCTTGATACAGCTCTGAATTTGGATTGTTATTAAATATTTGACACAGCATAGGTTTCTGACACAGAAAGAATGTGGTCTAAGAACTTGAATTTTTTTAATTTACCTATTATGGTCCAATGTCCAAAATCAAAATACATGGTTAGATTCAGCATATCAAAGAACCCCATATATTCAATTTTTTTTAAAATCAAACAAAGTTTAATTTTGGACCCCAACTTGGACAAACTTGAAAACTGGGCCCCTAATCAAAAATCTAAACACATGTTTAGATTCAGCATATCGAAGAACCCCAAGAATTCAATTTTTGCTAAAATCAAACTAAGTTTAATTTTGGACCCTTTGGACCTTAATGTAAACCAATTTAAAAAACGGGACTTAAAATTAAAAATCAAAATACATGGTTAGATTCAGCATATCAAAGAACCCCATATATTCAATTTTTGTTGAAATCAAACAAAGTTTAAATACTGGACCCTATCTTGGACCAACTTGAAAACTGGGCCCATAATCAAAAATCTAAACACATGTTTAGATTCAGCAAATCAAAGAACCTAAATACACGGTTAGATTTGGAATATCAAAGAACCCCAATAATTCAATTTTAGATGAAATCAAACAAAGTTTAATTTTGGACCCTTTTGACCTCAATATGAACCAATTAGATAACGGGGTCCACAAATAAAAAATCTAAATACATGGTTAGATTCAGCATATCAAAGAACCCCATATATTCAATTTTTGTTGAAATCAAACAAAGTTTAATTTTGGACCCCAATTTGGACCAACTTGAAAACTGGGCCAAAAATCAAAAATCTAAATACATGTTTAGATTCAGCATATCAAAGAACCTCATATATTCAATTTTTGCTAAAATCAAACAAAGTTTAATTTTGGACCCTTTGGACATTAATGTAGACCAATTTGAAAACTGGACCCAAAATTAAAAATCTAAATACACTGTTAGATTCGGCATAACAAATAAATAAATGTGATCAAAGATTTTACAAATCTAATGCGCCATACTGTGCAATTAAAGATTACTTCTTGAAATTTTTCAATATTTGAAATTTGAAAAAAAAATAATATTTGAAGAATAATTCTTTTTAATTTCTGAAATCTGAAATGAGAAAAAATTGGCCCCCCACAATTTCTTTTTATCCCCCCCCCCCCTCCCCTTTTTCCCCAAAAAAAATTCTTTCCCTCAAGATATGGTCATAATCTCAATTCTAATTTCCAATGGAGTTGGCAACCATAATTACCCATTTAAATTTACCATAGTGCTAACTTAATCTATTTTATAATAGAATTAATAAAAATATAGTGTCAAATCTTTCATATGGATTTTTTGGTAAAAAAAAAAGATGAAAACATTTGCAGATATTTTTACTGGTCTTCCTTTATAAATATGCATTTCTTTAAACATAATTTAAAAGCAGTGTAAGGGAAGTAACCAAAACGTTGTATTTGGATTACCTCCCTTACACTGTTTTAGATTATCTTTATTGTTCATTAACCATTACTTTATACATAATTTAAAAGCAGTGTAAGGGAGATAATTTCAATGATGTATTTGATTTATCTCCCTTACACTGCTTTAAATTATGTTTTGTACTAAAGTATTTGTCCATTAACCAGGACAACCTTGTTTTTCCCCCTTTTTTGCCCCTAATTCCTAAACGGCTTGAGCCATAACCCCCCAAAGCAAATCTAACCATCCCTTTGTGGTATGGAAACTTGTAGTATAATTTCAGAGAGATCCATACACCGTTCCACATTTATTGTCTGGAAACTAGAAAATGCTCATTTTTGGCCCCTTTTTGGCCCCTAATTCCTTAACTGTTGGTACCATAACCCCCAAAATCAATCCCAACCTTCCTTTTGTGGTATTTAACCTTATGGTCAAATTTCAAAAAGATCCATTCACTTAAACTAAAGTTAGAGTGCGAAAACCAATATGTATTCGGACGACGACGCCGGACGACGACGACGCCGGACGACGACGACGACGACGCCAACGTCATACCAATATACGACCACAAAATTTTTTTGCGGTCGTATAAAAATCTAAATACATGGGAGCCCATTTAAATACATCATAAAGGTATTAAAATAGAAAGTGACATCATAGTCATGACTAAAAATAAACAAAAATCCTTAATCAGCAACATTTAAAGTAATATCTAAAAATAAAATTCCTTTGTAACCATAAAAGCCCATTTAAATACATCATAAAGATATTAAAATAGAAAATGACATCATAGTCATGGCTAAACATAGCAAAATTCCCTTAATCAGCATCATTTAACAGTAATATCTAAAAATGGAAATTACATCATAAAGGTATTAAAATAGATAAAATGCTCCGCAGGGCGCAGCTTGATACGACCACAGAGGTCGAACCCTGAACAGTTGGGGGAAGTATGGACACAACATTCAAGCTTGATACAGCTTTGGATTTGGATTGTGATTAAATATTTGACACAGCATAGGTTTCTAACACAGATTGAATGTGGTCTAAGAACTTAAAAATTTTAAATTGGACATTCACCTATTATGGTCCAATATCCAAAATCTAAATACATGGTTAGATTCAGCATATCAAAGAACCCCAAGAATTCAATTTTTGATGAAATCAAACAAAGTTTAATTTTGGACCCTTTTGACCTCAATGTGGACAAAGTTGATAACGGGGCCCAAAAATCAAAAATCTAAATACATGGTTAGATTCAGCATATCAAAGAACCCCATATATTCAATTTTTGTTGAAATCAAACAAAGTTTAATTTTGGACCCCGATTTGGACCAACTTGAAAACTGGGCCCATAATCAAAAATCTAAATACATGTTTAGATTCAGCATATCAAAGAACCCTAAGAATTCAATTTTTGTTAAAATCAAACTAAGTTTAATTTTGGACCCTTTGGACCTTAATGTAGACCAATTTGAAAACGGAACCAAAATTTAAGAATCTAAATACACAGTTAGATTCGGCATATCAAAGAACCCCAATAATTCAATTTTTGATGAAATCAAACAAAGTTTAATTTTGGACCCTTTGGACCTCAATGTGGACCAATTTAAAAACGGGGCCCAAAATCCAAAAACTAAATACACGGTTAGATTCAGCATATTAAAGAACCCCATGAAATCAAGAATAAAACCCCATTGAAATTGGTCAAGAAATAAGCAATTTATAGGAAGTATCTTCTTTTGCACAATCCTGTGCTATAATAATAATAATAATAATAAATTCTTTATTTAAAGAGGGTAAACTCAGTTAGTTACAATAAACTAATCTTCCCTGAGGCCCTCACATACAAATTACAATACAATCAAAAAACAGATATTTACACATAGTTAATTTACAGTCAATTAGTTCAATGTAATATTACTAACATGATAAGATATAAGGCTGTTCAAGATGTACATGTAGTCAAAAAATCAAATACAAATATAAATAAAAGAATATACAAATACATTGTAGAAAACATAATCTTATCAGGACTGTGTTAAGTACTTCTTGATACTTTGTTTAAAAGTATAAGTGTTTTGAGCTTTACGCATTTTGTTTGGTAGTCCATTCCATAACACTGATCCAGAATAAACAAAAGATTTCTTAAATAGCTCAGCTTTTGGCTTAGGAACTATCAGATTACCTTGAGTGACGCCTCTCAGGGAGTAAGGATTATTATCTGATTTCAGTTTAAACTTTTGAACTAGGTACATTGGTGCTTCCATACGCATACATTTATATAGAAGTAAATATTTGTGGTATTTTATTCTATTGTCAACTGTCATCCACCCAAGTTCTTTAAATAAGGGGGCTGAGGGGGATAAAGGAACTGCATCTAGAATTAATCTTGCTGCCCTTTTTTGGAGTTTTAAAATTCTTGCTATCCCTTCATTTTTACATTCACCCCAAATAATACAGCAGTAGTCAATCAGGGGCAGAATATACCCATTGTAATATGTTTTCCTTGCATTTATATCTAAAAATTTCTTTATTTTAGAAAGGAGGTATATTCTGGATGATATATTAGCACAAACTTGGTCAATTTGATTTCTCCAGTTAAGTGTGCTGTCAATTTTAACACCTAATAATTTTTCACATGAAGAATTTTGTAATACTTTTGAATCTATTATTAAGTTTGGTTGATAAGTCTGAATTGATAGTTTCTGCTTTGTTCCAGTAACCAAACATTTTGTTTTATTTGCATTAATGAACATGTTATTCATTTTGCACCACTCTTCAACCCTGTATAAATCTTCTTGAACATCATCATGTATATTTTCTATGTTTTTCCCTGATTTATGAAGAGTGGTGTCATCAGCATATAGGTCTGTTTCACAATTTTCAATGCATAAGGGAAGGTCGTTTATAAATAGCACAAACAATAGAGGACCAAGTATAGAACCTTGGGGGACACCAAATTTTACATGTTGTTGTTCAGAGTAAACATTACAAATGTTTACCTGCTGTTTTCTGTTATTCAGGTATGACTTGAAAAAACTAACAGTAGCCTCACTAAATCCATAAATTTCAAGCTTTAAACAAAGAATGTCATGATCTACCAAATCAAAAGCTTTTTTAAAATCTAATAAAATTGCTAGGTTTAAATTACCATCATTCATTTCTTGCAACCATTTGTCAATGATATTAATAAGTGCAGTTTGACAAGAATGCTGCGGCCTGAAACCAGATTGTGTAGGGTGTAAAAGTTTAAGTTTAGATAAGTATTTGTACATGTTATTAGAAACATGCCTTTCTATTAATTTTGATAAAGTTGGAAGAACAGATATAGGTCTGTAATTTGTTGCTAAAAGCTTGTCACCATCCTTGAAAACTGGTGTTACCTTAGCATTCTTCAGTAAAGAAGGATATATACCAGTATCTATCATTCTGTTAAATATGTATGTGAGAGGTGATGCAATAACAGGGGCGCTTAATCTTAGGATTTTTGGTCCTATATTATCCATACCAGATGCTTTGTTTATATCAAGTTTTGTTAACTCATTAAATAGCTCATTCATGATCACTGGTGGTATAGAAAATTTATCATGTTTATGTAATTTATTTTTAACAAATTTACCAAGATTACTGAAATCTGCTTTGTTTACAGGTGTATAACTTCCTTGTTCTCTTAATTTTTCAGCACAGGAAGTGAAAAAGTTATTAAAAGTTTCTGCTATTGATTTTTTACTTTTAGTTGTATTGTTATCTTCTGTGGCTAATTCATATGGTGTATTTTTAACTTTTGGGTTCAGACTGTGAAGACATTTCCATAAAGTTTTAGGGTCATTGGAGTCTTTTACCATATTTTTATAATAATTCTTTTTTGAGCTATCTATGATATGTTTAGTTTTATTTCTCCAAAATCTATACTCACTCCATGAACCAAGTGCATTATATTTATCTCTCATATTCCTAGCGTAAATGATTTCACTGTTATACCATTCAGGCTGTCTGTCCCTTTTTACTCTCTTTTTAACAACAGGAGCATGTTTATCTAAAGCTTTGTTCAACATATCATAAAACAATTGTAGACAGTCAGAGGGGTTTTCTTCAAATTCAATTTTATAAAAAGGTGTAGTTTGCAGATCTAATAAAAATTCATCTTGGTTGAAATTTTTGAAATTTCTATAAGTAATTGTACTGTGTGTATTCTTTTTTCCTATATTTGCTTCTTTCCTTGTTAAACAGATAGGGTAATGGCCACTAATTGCATATCTACACACATGTGATTCATGTACCATAATTGGATTATTGACATAAATATGATCAATCAATGTACTAGAATCTTTTGTTACCCTTGTGGCATCTACAATCAGTTGTTGAAAATTGTACGATTCTAAAACGTTCAGCCATTTTTGAGGAGGTTTGTTTGGTGCTTTAAAATTAAAATTAAAATCACCCATAATTGTTATATCTGAATTCATGGTCATTGCCACTCTTATTTCTTTTTCAAAATCATCAACCCAATCTATCAGTGACTTTGGTGGCCTATACACAAAACATAATAAAAAGGATTTTTTGTAATCTGGTTTAATTTCAACCCACATTGTTTCAATACCCCCTATTTCGATGTTGTTTTTTCTTAAAAATTTAATTGTTTCAGAAAAATAAACAATCAGACCACCCCCACCTTGTGATGTTCTGTCCTTTCTTTCAAATACATAACCAGGTACTTGTAATTCATTATCAGTAGTGTGTTTTGTTAAAAATGTTTCACACAATCCTAATACATCAGGTTGGTTATCAGAAAACATAAGGTTATGTTTAATTTCTTCATATTTACTTTCAATCCTATTAACATTATGAGAACAAATCCTTATACCTTTGGATTTACTAAAACCATAAGAATTAAAAATCTTATCATTAGAGTCTATTTGTTTCCCTGTCAATGCATGGTTTTCTAAATTGATTAGATAATATATACAAACAATAATTGCTAAAGTAAATACAGAGACATAGGATAATTTCACATCAATCATTATGTTGACCTGAGGGAGAGGTAACAAAAAATTATCTACATTAGACTCATCATCAAACATTACACAGTTTGTATCATGCTGTTTAATACCAAGTAATGTATCCTTTCCAGATGTCTGAGATTCAGTGTTAAAATTATCAGAACTAATCAACCCATCATTAGAACTATAAAGTTTGACAGTAGACATTTCCTGGGTTGTGTCAAGTGAGAAATGACTCTCATTCTTTTCTTTAATTGTTTTTCTAGTGTTTCTAGTTTTCTTTATCTCAGAAATCTGAAGCCCTTGTGACAAAGAAAATAATTTACACATGCATGGAAATAAATTGCATTCAGAACATAATATTGTCAGTACATCAAATTTGTTTGAAACAGATGTAAAATTGGCATTTTCTTCTTTGCCATTTTTTCAAGCAGTACAAAATTTTAGTTTGTGGCCATACCTATTACACTTGAAGCATTTAATTTTCATATTAAATCTACAGAAGGATGTTTTATGGTTAAGTTCACCACAGTTCTCACAGTCATCATGTGAATTGATTATTCCTATTATGTTATCTATTGTTCTGATGTATCTTGATGTTCCTCTTGGATTGAAATGAATACCATCATGAACATAGAAATGTTTGTTTTGATTGAAGCTGTCACTCATATACAATTAAATATTTCTTGCTATTGCGCAATACTGTACAATTGACAATTTCTTGCTATTGCGCAATATTGTGCTATTGGATATTTCTTGCTATTGCGCAATACTGTGCAATTGAAGATTTCTTGCTATTGCGCAATACTGTGCAATTGAAGATTTCTTGCTATTGTGCAATACTGTGCAATTGAAAATTTCTTGCTATTGCACAATACTTATTATATAATAATTTACACATCCTGTTTGGTGTGTATCTCCTACCATATCATTATTATTTGATTTTAAATATAAATCAGAAATAACCAACTTAAAATGGAAAATTTTAAAAGAAACAAAAAAGAAAAAAAAGGAAAAAAGGAAAAAAAAAATAAATCCCCCCCCAAAATTTTTTGAACCCCCATTATGATTCATCACCCCCAAACTCAATCCCAGCCTTCCCTTTGTGGTATGGTACCTTGCAGTACAATTTCAGAGAGATCCATACACTTGAACACAAGTTATTGTCTGGAAACTAGAAAAAAATGTGTTTTTTGGCCCCTTTTTGGCCCCGAATTCCTAAACGTTTAGGGCAATTACCCCCAAACTCAAACCCAGCTTTCCCTTTGTGATATGGAACCTTGTAGTACAATTTCAGAAAGATCCATACACTTACACACAAGTTATTGTCATGAAACTAGAAAAATGCTTGTTTTTTGCCCCTTTTTTGGCCCCTAATTCCTAAAATTTGGAGGCAATTACCCCCAAAATCAATCCCAGCATTCCTTTAGTGATATGGAACCTTGTGGTACAATGTCAGAGAGATCCATACACTAACACACAAGTTATGTCAGGAAGTTACAAAAATGCTTATTTTTGGCCCCTAATTCCTTTACTGTTATTACCATAACCCCCAAAATCAATCCCAACCTTCCTTTTGTGGTATTGAACCTTGTGGTAAAATTTCATAAAGATCCATTCACTTAAACTAAAGTTAGAGTGCGAAAACCAATGTGTCTTCGGACGACGCCAGACGACGCCGGACGACGACGACGACGCCAACGTCATACCAATATACGACCACAAAAATTTTTTTGCGGTCGTATAAAAATAAAAGATAGAAATTCATTGAAATTGTTTTGAATTGTTAAAATCCTGGCTTGGTCATTCTAGGTTAAAAACTGTGATTGCAAGCGTGGACAAAGGCAACTAATTATTTGTTTGTTTAACAATTTATCATTTCTTGCCCAAAGTTATTCAAAGCATTTGATGTACAACTGATTGACAGTTGTTTTTTATTTACGTCCGTTTACGGGACGTATTATGGTATACCGTTGACCGTCTGTCCGTCCATCCATCCGTCCGTCAGTCGTCAACATGTCGGACATTAACTCAAAAAAGCTTTAACCAATATGCATGAAACTTTGGTGAATTGTTTATATCTATTGACGTGAGCTCCCTTTTGTTTTTTATAAATTTCAGATTTACTGTTTCCGAGTTTTGGGGTTTTATTCATTAAAAAAGGGGGGATTTTCCAGTTTTCCGACAATAACTCAAGAATACTTTCAACAACTTGCAAGAAATTTTGGTGAATTGTTTATATCTATTGACATGAGCTCCCTTTTGGATTTTTATAAATTTTAGATTTAACGTTTCCGAGTTACAGGGTTTTATTCATAAAAAAGGGTGATTTTCCAGTT